AACTCCCTCCCCACGAGCCCTCGCACCCCCTCCCCACACTCCTCCAGCCCCCAAACTCCCTCCCAGAGCCTGCACCCCCTCCCCACACTCCCCCAGCCCCCAAACTCCATCCCAGAGCCTTCACCCCAGACCCCCCCCCACCCAAACTCCCTCCCAGAGCCCAACCTCTCACCACTTCTGCACCCAAACTCCCTCCCAGAGCCTGCACCCGAATCCCCTACCCCAGACCTCCTCCCCAACCCAAACTTCGTCCCAGAGCCGTAGGTAGGTGGGGGGGGGCGGAGTTTTGGGGGGCGGGTTCTGGGCAGCATGAGTGACATTGGCCCGCTGGGAGGATTTGAGGACTGTAACTGGCCCTAACGTATATTGAGTTTGAGACCCCTGCTTTAAGCTCGTGTGCTAAGTGCATGATAGACACTTTGCTTGCTGTGTCTGCGTCGCATGCAGAAAGATGATCACAGGATTGCTACTAGTTTTGCCCAATATGTTATTAGTTGAGGAAGCACTGAGCAAAGGGATCAACAGCAGGGCAGCTGTGAGTTCCTCCCAGTAAGTGGATGAAGAAGAGAAAATAAGTTGATGATGGAATTCCTCATAAGTTGGACTAGGAGTCCCTTCCCATCCAGAAACTGGAGACAGTAAAGTGAGGACTCCTGCAGCAGAGGCACTGTAAGACAAAAGGAAAGATCTGTCCCTCTTTCCCAGAAACCAAAGGGAAGGGACAGAGAAGGGATGATGTTGTGCAGCCTTATCACGGTATTCATCAGTATGTGACAATGCTGAGTCACAAAATGATGGAACACCAGCACATATTGACACAACATCATGACACAAATGTTGCAATTCAAGAGCAGGATGCACACATTTTATGTTTTTTTGTAGCTCCACTGAATGACAAAATGGTCCTTTACCTATTAAAGGTAAGTTCTACTTAGATAATAATTTACACACAAACACAGTATGTTCTCAGGACAAAAAAAAGGAAAAAAAAATAAAAGGTTAAATTGTAGCGAAGGCCGCACATATGTTCAAGTTACACATTCAAAATATAAGAAATTAGGGGCTCGTCTACATGGCTAGTTAATGCACAGCAAACTGGGGTGTGAACATACAGTGCACTAGCCCTGCCATGAACTAATTAGCCTTGTAGATAAGTCCCTAGTGACAGAAAAACAGGATGCTATGTCAAGTATCAGAAGGGTAGCAGTGTTAGTCTGAATCTGTAAAAAGTGTCATGCTCGTTCTTAGGTAATTTATACTGGCCATTGAGGGCCTGAGGTTGGAGAATGGCACAGGAGAAGGTGAATTCCCCCATCTATCATTAGCACACTTGAGAGAGAATTTCAGTGTTAACCACCCTGACTAGCTACTGCCCTCAGAACTCACCACCAACATGCTCTCACCAAACATAGCTGCCTCAGCTTCTCCTGTTTTGTTCCCAGTTTAATGATTTCTGAGACTTAATTGGGCTAACTCCCCCACCCACCCAGATACCCAACTAGAACAACAGCTTGAGGGCACTTCCTGTTAACTCCGTAATAAAAGTGTCCTGGGCGGATAAGCACACCATTCTCCAGCCTTAGAGTTATTTACTGTGCTCATGATGTAATTGTTACCTTGTGAGCAGGAAGTGCCCTCCAGAAAACATCTAATTTGTATTCATTGGATACTCAGAGGAGAGCAATGTTACATTTGATTAGACTCAACAGGTTTGGTTTGAAGTTTTAATTGCTTTTAAGGAGACCTAATTTTTGTGACTTCAGTCAATGCTTTTCTTCTCTGCATGAAATCCTCACACACAGGCCCTGCCTCTCTACAATTACCACAAGCATAAACTGCTCTTCACTTTCTACACTAGAAATTAAGTACAAACGATTCCAGGCAGACTTACATCAGCCACTGGGATGAGAGTGTCGGCAAGCTGACCAATCCGATTCTCTCTGTACAGCCAGGACATTAGCAGTATTCCCAGAGCCATGTCAATGAGGAGAGAAACAAAGATATTGGCTTTCCTGCATTCAGGAGAAAGAACAACAAAATTAGAGCACAGGAAGAAGGCTGTTTCGTGTTTGGATAACAATCATCACCAGCTTCATTTATATAGTGCTTTTCATTTCTGAAGGCCATCAAGACTCTTTACTGAAGATATACACCAGGAGTGGCCAAACTGTGGCTCGCGAGTAAATAGCCTTTTACTATTAAAGTGCAAGCCCTCTCCACCTACCAGACTGGGGGGGAGGGAAGTTTGGGACTGGGTGGTTGGGTAGGAGCTTCTGTCCAGTGGGGAGGAGAGTCTCAGGACTTCAGCCCTCTGGGATACACCTGCCAGGGCTTGGGGCTTCAGCAGGAATGGAGCTGAAGCCCTGAGACCCAGCTCGTGTGCTCCAGCTCTCGAGCTTCTGAAGATTGCTTGGAGGGTCAGTGAGTTTGGCCCCCCCTGGTATACACAGAATAGGGACTGCTTTCCTATCACTAATATACTGCTGTCTCTAGGGTCAAACACAGCATCCATGCTAAGCCAGAACACTACACAACAGGTTTTCGCAGGGGGACTGAATAGTTGGATTGAAATTCCAAGAGGAATGTTAGGGAAGCACTCAAATTGGGGTTCAGTTATGATAAATTCACCATCACTTGGAGTATTTAATTCGAGATCAGAGGCCTTTCTAAAAGGTATGCTTCAGTTCAACCACTAGTCATTGGGCTAAATAATGTTTACTTACACTGTAGGGTAGAATAACTCCCCCCTCACTGCAAGAGTTTCTGGATGAAATTGTATGGCTTGAGTTACGCACAAAATCAGACTAAATAATCATAGTATTACTTTCGGCCTTAAAATCTATTAGTGTATTTTAAGTATTCCCTCAGAGTCAATGACTATAGTATCTGAGCACCACATAGAGTAAGATTTGCACAGTGACGGCCTTAAGGAGTCTATATCCATCTCTGATCTTTGCCTCTTCCTCCTCTACGCACTGTGGGGTTTTGTGTTTGCTTGGTTTTTCTGTTACTTCGATGTTTATTGCCACTCCTTGTCTTCAGTTACCAGAGGATGGATCTTCCAGAACACTGGGATAAGGGGGTGGGGATTGATACTCTTACTCTTGTGGCAAGTGCCATGGAACCTTGATTTTATATCCCATCTGATTAATTCAATGCCTGTGAAAGCAAAGGCTCTACAGCAGTGGTTCTCACCCAGGGGTTTGGGGCCCCCAGGGGGGCTGTGAGCAGGTTTCAGGGGGGCCTCCAAGCAGGACCAGCATTAGACTCACTGGGGCCCAGGGCAGAAAGCTGAAGCCTCACTGCATGGGGCTGAAGCCCAGGACCCTGAGCCCTGCCACCCGGGGACTGAAGCCTGAGCAACGTAGCTTTGCAGGGGCCCCTGTGGCATGGGGCCCCAGGCAACTGCCCAGCTTGCTACCCCTGGCTTTTGTATGCAGAAAATCAGTTGTTGTGGCACAAGTGGGCAGTGGAGTTTTTATAGCATGTCGGGGGTCGGGGGGCTCAGAAAGAAAAGGTTGAGACCCTATGCTCTACAGAACTACAGAGCAAGTTTTCCCTGTGCAGCTCGGCCAGTGCATCCCTGTCCTGTTTCCCAGGCTAGCTTCAGTGACACTAAGTTTCTGGATGGAACTTAAATGTTTCTTAGAATAGCAGAGATGTTCTGCAGGCACAAGTATGTGTTGTGGGGCGGGGGGAAAGGGATTATATGAGGAAGAGACTAATGGGATAGTAAAAGTCTCTCTCACACAGCAACTCCACAAAAAAGTAAAGCCACCCCCCCACATATTCCTGTAAAATCATATTACTGCACAAAACAAGATGCTTCTCCAATAAAAAACAAGCCAACCATTCAGTGCAGGAAAACAACTGGGTGGCAACCTCAATATCAGCTATACCAGAGCCAGAGGAGGCTGAATTTCTTTAAAGCTAGAAAAAAATTGGTTGGTACACTGATGATGAAGGCTCCAGCTGGTGACAGGGGTCAAGGACTCAGTGGGGTGTCAGAACATACACAGCATACCTCATTAGCTGAGTCTGGTTCTGAGCCTTCCTGTTGCTGCTGATGATCTGGAGGTGCTCCAGTCGGTGCCCCAACTGTTCACAAGTTGAGAGTTTACTCCAGATGAAAGACAAAGGCCAAAACTTCAGCACTCTGCAGAAACACAAGGGGAATCCTCTCTAATACTTTTGTCAGTGAAACAGGTGATATGATGCTTGTACAAATTTCCACACCAAACAATTACTTCAGGTCAATTTCAGGTTGTGCACACACATAAGTGGTTTGGGTGCAGAATAATTTTTTTAAAATTAGAGATTTAAAAACCTTCTACCATTAGAAAACTAAGCAATGCCCTTCAAAACAAGACACCCAAATAACCTTAACTCTGCCCCCATAAAGATGCCAGTCTACCAGCTTCCCTTGTGTCAAATTCATTCTTCAGAGAGGGCTGAATTCCATTTTTTAATAATGGCTTGTGGGTCAGGGTGTATGTGTAGGACTGCACACTACCCTCAATCCACAGCAGATCTCCCACTAATGGGAGGTTTGCATAGTGAGCAATGGTACAATATGGCCTTTTTGCATTAACTACCTTTTAAAGTTGGGATTATTCACACCCAACCCTTATTGAATTTCACTGAAAACTGGGCGCCTTTGAAAATCCCAGCCTTAGTTATCATGACTGTCTACTAAAGTGTCTGACTGCAGCATGGCTAAGCAGGAAAAATTATCAAGTGGGGGTCAGTTCTTTACTGAAGTCAATAGGTGTTGCACCCATTTCTATCGGAGCTTAGTTTGGCCATGGGAGTATTGCGGAGGCTGCAGCATACATTACATTAAGGGTAAGTGAGCTTCTTTCTCTATGCCCACCTATTAGTTGCCTTTTCAAGGACATCACCCCCCCCCTTCCAGTTCCTTGGTATGTTCATGTAAGCTTCACTCAGTCTGCACCCCCACTGAATGCCAAATCTGTGCAAGTTACCCTACTTTGCTCTTGAATTTACATCACTGCTGGATCTGGATTTCCATGGGGCTTACACCTGCTTTCTCGAAAATACAGTTGGCTGAATTTAGCCTGGGGTCTAGCAGCAGGAGCATGTGTTTAAAAGTGGACAGCAGAACATATCAACTGGGCCTTGTGCTGCAATTCATACATCATTCTAGCTATTCAACCACAAGGAGAGTAATCCAACCCACAAACAGTAACTGGGTGGCTGGCTGAGAACTTTGCAGGATTCAGTGAAGGTGCACCTCTGGTCCTTTTCAGTTGCACTCCACAGCGGGTTTGTCAGTTTAAAACCCAGAGTCTTGGAGGGATTAATCCCCCCCTCCCCCGCCAATTTAGATGTTAGATCAGGCGTCCACAACCTTTCAGCAGTGGTGTGCCAAGTCTTCATTTATTCACTCTAATGTAAGGTTTTGCGTGCCAGTAATACATTTTAACGTTTTTAGAAGGTCTCTTTCTATAAGTCTATAATATATAACTAAACTATTGTTGTATGTAAAGTAAATAAGTTTTTAAAAATGTTTAAGAAGCTTCATTTAAAATTAAATTAAAATGCAGAGCCCCTGGACTGGTGGCCAGGACCCGGGCAGCGTGAGTGCCACTGAAAATCAGCTCGCGTGCCGCCTTTGGCACACGTGCCATAGATTGCCTACCCCTGTGTTAGATGCACTGGCTTTGAATCCTATGCAGTGTACTCTGAATCATTCTCCTCAATTCAGGGAATCTGAATAATTCTGCTCTTCAGTACAGCCATCCATCTCACAGCCAAATTAATGCACTGTTCAACTGGCCTGTCAGGGTGTAACATCCAAAGAGACAGAGGAAAGAACAGGTGGAGGAGGAAAAGCACAGTAGTTTATTACACTGGCCACTGATCTCGCAGACCTGGCTTCACAGATGCAATGAGGCAAGTGGAGATGAGTTTTCTTTTCTGATCATGTTCTAACCCAATGGTTCACAAATTAAGGCCTACAGAACATTTGCTGGGGCAAAGAATCCTGCTACAAATGCAGGAGAAAGGGAGAGATCTTCTTCCCCTTTCCAATGAGGTTGTCCACAGGCGGCCAAAATTTAAGAACCCACTGTTCCAGTCAACATCTGCAAGCTCCTCCCAGGAGATAACTGATTTGGGGGTTGGAAATCTCCCTTGCCTCACCCCTTACTTTGAACACCGGTAAGAAATGTGAGAAACAAGCCATTTTGAAACTAGATTGGTGCGCCAATGTTTCTGACAGTTGATATTGACATCAATGTCTTTGACATCTCCATGGACCTTTGTTATGAGACACGGTCACAACTGAACTTTGTGAGAGATCAATGCCACATCTAATCCTGGACCCAATGCAGCAGCAGAGAGGTGATAAGAATACTGTGATGTTGCAGTCTATATGATTTTATAAAAATATGCTAACGAGTGAATATAATGTAACTGGAATATGCTTCATGCAAAAGGTCTCTTGTAAGGTATCATTACAAAGCTTATTGTCTACTAAGTGTGGTCATCCTATTTGTATGACGGTATCACTCTTGTATCTGAAACTAGAAATATGAAATATAACTCTGAGGGCCTATTGTAATTATGCAAAGTGTGGGCCATTAATGGTGGTTTGGAATCTTAATGGCTCCCATCAACCAGGACAATTGACTGTGGATGGCTCTGTTTGCAGGCAGGCCTTCCTGTGAGTCAGGCTGGGAGGAATGAAGGCTTGGGGTCTTACAGTGACATTTGATCATGTCACCTGAACTGGAATCCATCTTTAACCTGGTGTTTTTCCAGTGAGGAGGGGTGGGAACCCAGAGGGACAAAGGATTCCCGCCTTATGCAAAAGATATATAAGTGGGTGGAACAGAACAAAGGGGCAGCCATCATGAGAAATTCCCTAGCTACCACCTGAGCTGGAACAAGAGCTGTACCAGGGGGAAAGGATTGTGCCCAGACTAGAAAGGAGTCCAGTCTGAGAAAAGAAACTTATTGAAACATCTCTAAGGGTGAGATTTTAACCTGTATTCAGTTATATTACTGTATTAGGTTTAGATTTGCGTGTTTTATTTTATTTTACTTGGTAATTCACTTTATTCTGTCTATTACTACTTGGAACCATTTAAATCCTACTTTCTGTATTTAATCAAATCACTTTTTACTTATTAATTAACTCAGAGTATGTGTTAATACCTGGGTGGGCAAACAGCTGTGCATCTCTCTCTACCAGGGTTATAGAGGGCGAACAATGTATGAGTTTACCCTGCATAAGCTTTATACAGGGTAAAACGGATTTATTTTGGTTTAGACCCCATTGGGAGTTGGGCATCTGAGTGTTAAAGACAAGAACACCTCTGTTAGCTACTTTTAGGTAAGCCTACAGCTGTTAGGGGACATGATTCAGACCTGGGTCTGGGTTTGCAGCAGGCTAGCAAATCTGGCTCAAACCAGGCAGGGCACTGAAGTCCTAAGCTGACAAGGTAGAAAGGCAGGGGCAGAAGTAGTCTTGGCACATCAGTTGGCAGCTTCCAAGGGGGGTTCTGTGATTGAACTTTGTGAGAGATCAATGTCACATCTAATCCTGGACCCAATGCAGCAGCAAAGAGAGGGGATAGGAATACTACTATATTTTGGATGCTTGTCCAAATCACAAAACCACTACATCCCGCAGACGCTGTTCAAGAGAAGCCCAGCACTGGAATAACAGAGGATGCTTAAAATGTTGTTTTGAGGAAGTCTGTGCAATGCGTGTCTGTACTATGCCTGATTCTCTCTCTTTTCTTAGTACTAAACTTCATCAAAACCAGCCTCCACTCCTCACTCCCAGCCAAAAGAAATGAGAAAGAAAAAGCAGTAATCTTGAAAATATATCTAATCCAGACACACAGAGAAAGAGACCAATAAAGCGATTGTAGGATCAGCTATGGAAATTTCCATTTGTAATAATATCCAAGCAAGAAAAGCAAAAATACTTCCAGGATTTTATGTTACCCCTGCAATGTAAGGAAAGTTGCCACAAATGCTCCTGTTTGTTTTTCAGCCTTATAGGATGCAGACTGGTTTCTTATAAATGTATCAGAAAATTCTAATATGGAGCAGAATGACTGGCTTTTATATCGTTACGCTGCTTAAATGGAAAAGTTCTGAGCAATGAGTGTGGATTTCGGGAGTGTTTTCAAATGCGAGTAATTTAACGTACTTTGCACAGAGAGTCTTGATTTTCCAGTTCAGATAATTTGTTCCAAGACTGTGGATGGATACCGCAGATTCTAGATGAAAAGCAATATATTTGAATCTGGACTGCATACAAATGTGAAAGCTCCATTAACTAGAACCTCTTGGCTGCCTTGTTGCTCTGCGCTACAATTCCAGGAACAAAGCCTCCCTACTGGGTGACGACTCTGAGGGTCAGATAGTATCAATAGGAAGCCATTAAGCAGCTTATTTTTAAAAAGAGGAACACGTGGCATTTACTGCCCCAATATTAAATTATTCTAATGCTCTTAACAATGCACTGGAGACCTTTCAGTGTTAATGGTAGTTCTGCACACAAACCCTAAAAATTAAGCTGTAATTACAACTGCTAGGCACAGGGTGGTGCTGAAGAGATGTCTATTTTTCAGATCAATGTACCTGCTACAGAATGTGTGGGCATTTTGTAAGTCTGAATCATTGAATCACTGTATGCAGCCTATGTTGTTGCCAGGGAAATCTCATTTATGAGATTTTTACATGTGCCATCCTATCTGCATGTGCAGGTATAGTTTCGTAAAGAATCATACAAAAAGCCCTGAGTTTGGGTGCATTTCAGTAATCAAATCCTCCAGCCCATCAAGACTAATAACCCCTTCTAACCCACTCACTGCACAAAAGCTTGGAAAGACAGATAAGCCTTGCAGCATGCCCCAAAAAGCATCAAACTTGGTCTCTGTCAGCACAAGGCGAGGACGCGAGTTCCAGAACTGAGGTCCCTTCACTGAAATCATCCTGCCAGAAGCCCCTTCTTATTAAACCAGAGAACTGTTAGCTCAAGCACCCCAGGTGATCTCATCTACTATGGTACAAGACTGTAACTAAGGTACCCTTAGCTGCAGTATTTAAGGTAGCCAGGATCCAAATCATTTGACCTTTATAGATCAAAACCAACACCTTCAATAACAGACTCATCACCTCATGGTTTGATTTTAACAGGCTGGAAGGAACTAGCATCCAATATGTAAAGTGCAGACTGAAACTTCCCAAGCACCTTTCAACCTCAGTGAGGTACACTTGCAGCAGCTCAGGCAGAGAGGACACCACATATGTCTTCACCAAATACAATTCTATCACGACAGGGATTATCAAAAAGAATTACCCCAGGGACAATAGTGACTGCCAAAAGTCATTGCCATATCCAGCTTCTCTGAAGTCAAATTGTACAAAATCGGAACCACCACCACGCCCTTCCTCTCTGCAAGGGCTGGAGGGGCAGACTTCAATGGTTCTTAGTAGGCTTCATAGAGACGCAGAATCACCAGGCTGCAGGTCCTCCCCTCCTCTGGCCTGCCCCTGCTCCAAACCCTGGAATGCCCTCAGTGACTGGAGGCAGCACAGACCTGGTGGAGCCAGTTCTATGTCAGATATAGATGCCCCCCGCCCAGGACTGGAAGTATTCCGGGGGTGGGGAGGGGAGAAGCCTTACAATTGCCCTATGACCCTTGCACCAAGTAGGCTGACACAAAGGAGTCTTAAGCAATGAGATGCCCAGTGAGATTAAGTGATATTACTCCTGAGGGCATTGTGCACCAAAAATTTTTACAAATCTGCACACAATATTTTAAAATTCTGCAAATTTTATTTGTCAAATAAACCTGGAGGTTCCAGCATGGCACTGGGGAACACAGGCCACTGGCTGCACAGAGGTGGGAGATCACTGTGCAGCTTTCCCCGGGGTCACGGACTCAGTGGTGAGGCTGCACCCAACCCTGACACAGTGCAAGGACCGGGCCTGCACCAGAAACACCCCAGACCCCTGCCCCTCTGTGCCAGGTGCACCAGGTGTGGGCAGGCAGGCTCAGCAAGGCAGGATCCAAGTGTGGAGGGGATTAATGTGGGGGGATCCAGGTGTGGGTTGAAAGGGTTCTGCGTGGGGCAATCTGGGTGTGGGCAGCTCAGTAGGGGATCCAGGTGCGGGGGGAGATCTGGACACACAGGGGCTTATTGGGGGTTTCTGGGTGCAACAGTAATGGGACTCTACAGGGGGGTCCTGGTGAAGGTAGTTGGGGCTCAGCAGAAGGGGTGTCTGGGTGTGTGGGGGGGATAGAGCATGGGAGGGGTGTCTGGGTGTGGGGGGCTCAGTGGTGGGGTCCAGATGCTGGGGGAGTGGGACTCAGTGGGGTGGGGATCCAGGTGCAACTGGTTGGGGCTTGGTATGGTGGGGATCCGGGTGGCTCGTCAGGGTGGTCCAAGTGCAGGGAGAGTGGGGCTCATCAGGGAGGTTCTGAGTGCAAGGGGGTGGATGAAGCTTAGCGGGACGATCTGGGTATGGGGGGGGGTCTGGATGCACGGGGATTGGGCGGATGTGAGAGCAGCTACCTGTACAGAGATCCCTCCCCCTGCATCTGAGAAGCGATGGATGCAGAAAGCACGGGGGGGCTGGGGTGGGAGGAAGAGTTTGCAGAGCTTCTTACAGCTCGGGGAGAAATCTGGGGGTGGGTCTGACACAGCTCCGGATGCCGTGCAGGGGAAGAGGAAGTCCTGTCCTCCACAGCCCAGCTGGGACTAGCAGCTGAGCTCGGCAAAGGGTAGGAGTCACCAGCCAGGTCTTCCCAGTCCAGCCTCCCGCCACACAGTGATTTACCTCTCTACTGGCTGCTTCGGACACCTGAAACATATTGCTGGGGGGGGGGGGTGTCACATGACCGCTCTTGTGGCTTCCCATCAGAAAGTCATTTTTCTGCGGGGAAGCAAATAAATCTGCGGGGGACATACATTCTGCGCATGCACAGTGGCGCAGAATTTCCCAAGGAGTAGTGATATGTAAAGGTCATACAGGAAGTTTGTGGCAGAACCAAGAACTGAACCCAAATTTCTTAAGTTCCAGCCTAATACCTTCAAATACCTTTGCTAGATAGGTGTTCTGCTCATTTTACAGATAATGAAACTGAGGCAGAGAGAGACAAAGTGATTTTTCCAGGGCCACACAGTGAATCATTGGAGAGCTGGAAAAAGAACTTGGAACATGATTCCCAGTTGAGTGCTCTACCCAACTAGATAATGATTCCATGAGTATAATCAAGGGGCCAAATTCAGAGCCACTACAATAGTGAAATTCCATTGGAGCCAATGGAGTTCCATCTACTTACACCAAGTCTGAGTTTGACCCTAAAATGACTTTAACAGATAATTAGAAAAAATTATAACAGTTTCAGCTTTACACATCAAGTAGGAAAATCCAACAAACCATTCTGTATGAAATGGTTCACCGTGATTTTTCATGACAGTATTACACAATTGGAAACCTGTTAAAAGATTCCATTCCCCATAGCTTGAGGCTATACTTGAAAAGATTTGTCCATGAATGCTTTAGTAGCTGTTATCCAAATCTGATTAATCAAACTGTCCTCTTCCAGCTTGAACACTGAACACCAATCCCCTTTTTGGCAACACAACACAATCTCACTAGACGGCTTTCCCAGCTGTGGTACTAAGCTTTATATACAAGAGGTTTTTTCCTTCAGGTCTGTTCAGATTTCCCCTTTAGTGCCAGCACTTGCAGAATGTTACACTGGAGGCATCATATTCATCCTGGTGAAACTCCATTTCAGTACATGAGGTAAGTAAAGTTAACAAAGTTCCAGCAAGGATGTATTTAATCCAGTGTGCTCCTATTAACCTCCTGCTATCCAGTCCCAGGGCTGCAGCAGTGCCATTTGATGTCAAAAGTTGGAATTAGATGCCCAGTTTGCCAACATTTCAGTGTTCCTCAGCTACAGAGAGGCACTTCACAGCAAACAGAGATTAGGGCATCCTGGTTACAGAGCTACTGGGGTGAAACACCGAACTGTTAGCTCTCTTTACATCATCCTGTCATTCAAGCAGTGGCTGGAAGAACCCATGGTTCAACTCATGAAGCTGAGGCAGAGGGTTTTCCCCCAGTGAAAAAGGGAAGAAGTTCAGCTTGCAAAACCTCACAGCTCGCCCAGAAACCTCCTGGAGTTTGAGGGAACTGTTACTATCTATATGGCAACATTGTACCTTGCATCAGTACCAGCTCAAATCCCACCCAACACAGGCTAATCATTCATTCAGCATTAACTTGTACTGGGCTGGCCCACGGGTGTTAGGGAGACTATCACAGACAGCAGGTCCCTGCCCTCCCACTTAAATAGGATAGGGCTACTATCAGTAGCAGCTCCTCAGGGTTGGAATTGCTGTTTTGAGACAGATACAGTATGGTCTTTACTCACTGTGGGGAAATTGACTCTGAGTTGGCTAACAGGTCCCTGATGGCCACTCAGACTGTCTCAACCCCACCTAGGCTGAGATATTTTAACATAATGCACATTGCTTGCTGGGATTGAGCAGGAAACTTGTGCCCTACTGATAGTCTTGGGTTGGACTACGTTTCAATGTAGCATACAAGCTGCCCCATCTTGCATCACATACCTGCTTTTACAGACACTGGAGACAAGTGAAAGCAGGAATGTCAGCAGCATACACACAGGCACAGAAGCCTGCTTCATCAGTTCCACGATTATACTGGCTTCCACTCCTTCTGACTGCCAGTGAGTCAGCTTGATGGGCCCATCATCGTATCTGTCTGTCATGAACAGTACCTTGCTCTTTGCAACGGTGTCAAACACAGCACCTAGTTTTGAGGCATCATTTCCCTTATGATCAGCAGATGTGGTCAGGTTGTCGGTGGGATGCAGCTGTGAAAGCATTACTTTGCGCTGGTCATAATATACTAAGATGAATTCATCTTCCTTGGGGCTGCTGGGGTATTTCTGAAAGATACAGCAGCTCCAAAACTTGCTGTCTCTCTCTTTGCTGAGCTGTATCCAGGGCTCATGGGAAAAGATTGTGCTGAGATCTTCCAGGAACTTGTCCAGGACCTCTTCCTTCTCCTGTTTGCTGTTACTCCATGAGCCCAGCACACACATATTGATCTGAGTCACCCGCTGGACTTCAGAGAGATATTGCTTCACCTGGCCAGGAATAAAAGGGAAGTGGACCACAGCGAGGACAACAGCAGAGTTCTGTTCTGGGATCCAACGGCCAACCAAAAGGCCACTTTCTGCTGTGGCACAGCAAGAGGGGAAAAAGACCTTAAGAACCATGACAGCAATCCCGGAAGAACGTAATACCTGCCAATAAATACAAAAATAAAACTTAAGAGACTGTGGATAAAGGCAAAGAAAAAAAACCTTAGTTTAATGAAAGCCATTGCTTAGGAGATCCAGTAAAGTTCCAAAACACCAAATTCAAGAGCGAGCTGAGAACTGCCTCTGCATCTTAGATTAAGAAGCTGACATTGGTACTATTAGCCAAGTGGCATTTAAAATAATAGGTGAAAGAGGGACTTGGCACATTTCTGATAAACACAAGCTCTTCAAATGACCTTGTAGTGGAGCTTCCAACACAAGGGCATTTTGCGAGTGTTGGAATCATCTCTCATAACTCTGCACTAAAATCCATGCAAATTGCTGGACAGGCTCCAACCAAGGGTCCATCTAGTCCAGTATCTTGTCTCTGACAGCAGCCAGCAGTACATGGCCCAAAGAAAGGAGCAGAAACTTTGACATGGATAGTTGTATAATAACCTGCCGATACTGTAATGTTTCTCCCTAACTCCTTCAATTAGAAGTTGACTTATGCCCTGAAACACGAGGACTTATATCCTCACTTATATCACTGGAGCAGGAGATATGCTCTGCCACAGACTCACTGTGTAACTTTGATCATGTCACTTAACTTCTCTGTGTCCCAGCTTCTCCACCTGTAAAATGATAACTGTTGATCTACTTCACAAGAGGATTGGAAGGCTTAACTGATTAAAGTCTGATTTAATTCCTTTGATAGAAGGTCCTAAAGAAGGGCAAATATTATATTCACTTATTATCCCTGTTTTGCCAGCAGTCCCTGACCACCCTGCAATCTAAAGTAGTTTTTTTTCCCCAATTCAGGGAGAACACATTTCTATGGTTTTATAAATCACCTTAACAATAAATAAATACATTTTGAGCCTTGAACTAGCTGACAATGTCTCTTTACATAATGCTGAAGCATCTAATAGAAATATAATTGCATTAAGGAGGGTGCTTCCTCAGAATAATCAGCATCCGGTGACTGTTGTCCTTTTCTGTCCTTCAGTGCTGTGCTAGGGATGTGAAAACTCCATGAATCCCTCAGGCTGGCATCTTTGTGATGGGAGCAGTCAATTGGAAAGAGAAATACACAGTATATTTATAACATGTCGAGAGTACACAGAACAGGGAAGTCTCTGGTGTGTGTGTTTTTCTCTCTATTTAATAAAGTTTAACTGATCTACTGAATCTATGCACCTGGCAATTTGCTATGAAAAGATACACTTGTCTGTGATGGGGAGGGTGATGGGGAACAATTAAGTCAAGTCACTTGACAAGTCACATAACCCCCAGCCTGCCAAATGCAATGGTAGGAACTGACTGCTCATGGATGAATTCCTTTCAGCCCCTTGAGGCAGAAAGGTGAAGTTTTCTTGGCATGTGTTGGCAGTGGGGCAAGCACCACAATTGCTGCTATCAAAGGCAAATATCTCCCGGGTCTGAATTTTCCCCGTCATTTCACAACAGCTGAGGCCACCTCAATACCTGCATTGAACAGGGTGCATATGCGTGTTTTTGGGGATTTTTAGTGTAGCAACATAGGTGCAGAACTCTGAATGTTGCTAAGAGCAGATAGTCCCCTTAGCTCCTGAGGGGAGTGAGCTCCTTGCCTTGCTGTCTGACAGTCCCCTCGGGCTGACTGCAAGAGCAGCATTCACAAGCCACAGAGGGAGTTACATCCTTCTCTCTTGGGCCAGAGGGATAATTTCTGCTATGTAGAGCCTTTGAGGAAGTGGGATCTTAGAAGAACCTCAAATAATTATTAGTGAAAGGTGAATAAGATTGTAGATGTTTCCGTTTTAACAGTCTAAGGTATTTTTAGTAACATGGCATAGGTAGGGATATATATATATATTTTTTTTCTTCAAATGGTGACACTTATCCTGCCAGTGTACCTTTAAAGCTGAATTTCTATTTTTAAATTTTCCAGGTAGTGTCAGCAGTTTTAAAAGTGCTATTATAGCAAGAGATTTCCAGTGTCCTCTGCTACTCTCCCTCCACAGAGTCCTTGCCAATTCAACCATCATTTTAGAAACAGATTGCTGTTTCATGTAGCTTTAGCATTCATTTTGTTCTCAACTTTTTATAACCCCCACTAAGAAGAATGAAAGTAAAATGTCTGTATTTTTCCCTTCTCTATTTGGGAAACATTGATTGTATTTCTCTCCTCTCTCCTCCTGCCACCCAGAATTAACCTGGAGTTATTTACTACCTTAATTGTGCATCAGTATAAATAACAACGCAGCTCTGAATGTGTGTGTTTGTTAACTGCTGGAAATCGAGCAGAGGGAGCTCAGATATTACTTTTAAGGAGGCATGTAATATCTCTACAGCAGGAAAATAAATTGTATCATGTTAATATGTTACTACAACATATTTTGGTAATCAGGGAAGCAACCTGGAAACTCATGAGACCTGGGCTTATTTCCAACTCTGCCAGTGACTTGCAGTGTAAACTGCCTCATTCATTTCAATAGGTTATATCTGAAAACTAAAGATTTTAAATGTCACCACAACCTAGTACAGGGGTGGCCAACCTTTGGCTCCGGAGCCACATGCGGCTCTTCAGAAGTTAATATGCGGCTCCTTGTATAGACACCAACTCTGGGACTAGAGCTACAGGTGCCAACTTTCCAATGTGCCAGGGGGTGCTCACTGCTCAACCCCTGGCTCTGCACTTAGGACCTTCTGGGAGGGAGGGGGAGGAACAGAGACCTGGCGCTCCCACTCCACCCCTTCCCGCCCCCTCCCCTCAGCCTGCAGTGCCCTCACTCCTCCCCCACAGAGCCTCTTGCATGCCATGAAACAGCAGATCAGGGGGTGCAGGGAGGGAGGAGGAGACGCTGATTGGTGGGGCAGCCGGTGGGTGGGAGGTGCTGGGAGTGGGGTGGGTGAGCTGATATGGGGGCTGCTGACATATTACTGTGGCTCTATGGCAATGTACATTGGTAAATTCTGGCTCTTTCTCAGGCTCAGGTTGGCCACCCCTGACCTAGTATTTCATTGCTGATCATTTTAGCAGAAACATCCACCAAATGTACTTATTTTACCAAAATCCCAAACTGCCTATCGCTCCCTCATAGATGCCTGCTACTCAGGTGTCCCCACCTTCCCCCACCCCCCCAAACTTTTCCAATGCAGTTATACATTGCCACTATGAAAATCTTTGGAATACTGGAAATGGAAAATGTGGGGACACCATATAATAAATGCATTAATATAAAAATAAACAAAAGTTAAAGTACTCATTCTATAATTCATACTCAACTCATTAAAAACCTTGATATTTTAAGGTATCATTTTCTGCTTTTCAAATCTGACTCTTTCCTAAGGGATCTAAGCTTCAGAGAAAGCATTCCCAGAGGACTGGCTGGGTCAGAGTACTTGTAATGCTCTATGTCCATTACCGTGTCACCAGCTCAAATCCAGTACTGGTTGGAAGTGAGTGAAAGCTGCTACGGTCATTGGATGTTCAGTTGTCTCTATGAAATATGTTGTGACCTCCTTCTGCCTCCCTAGCATTACTTCTGGCCACATCACAAAATCACCTCAACAACTGGCATCACTTAACCATCTTGTCATCTCTCTCAGTCGAGAGGCCAAAGACCGAATGAGCCTGAACTCCCTTCTCATCCCTAGATATGGTTTGTCCAGGACAGGAGCGAGAAACATTGGCAGATTGTACCCACTCTGGAGATGAATACAAGAACTTCAGTCCACAGGGGTGCCAGGCTAGAACCATACAAGAGCACAAACCCCACTTCTAGCCCCGCAAGAGAGATCCTTGTTCAAATACTGCTCTGTGAGCTGGCTGCCACCAAGCTGCCTCCTAGCTTACAACAGGCAGGAGAGTTCTCTGCCTCCAGAACTGGCATACAAGCTGTGGAGCCATTGGCAGAGGAAACTCTCTAGCTAGCATCTAAAACAGAGTGCCAGCCTGGAGAAGGAATATGTACAAGCACAGAACTGGTGTACACTGCAATTTCCTTCAGGCTGGCAGAAATAACTAGGCTCACTCACTGGGCTTCATTTTAACTCCTTCATGGCTATATATGTACTGCATGGCTCTTGCCAGAGTATTTCATTCTGGTGCGGAAATCATTTGGGGCACATTTCAGCCCCTTTGTTTTAATGGGTTCTTGTCACAAGCTCAGATGGCTTTAGCTTGCCAGAGGTAGGGGAAGCACCAGACCCTGGGATCTGTGCAGATTAAGAAAGGACTGAAGCACAGGGGATGAAGGAGCCTGACTGTGGGTGCTCAGTGTCTCTGATCCCATCCGGGTAGCCAGAGCATACAGGGGAGCTGTCAGCATCAGGAAATGGAGGATACAGTGCAAGGATCTGAGAGAGACATGCCCTTCATCAGAGCAATGAAACAGAGGTGAGCAGATTACAATAACCTTTCCCCAACTAATATACTCCACATACTGTAACTCCTCACTTAATGTCCTCCCGCTTAACGTTGTTTCAAAGTTACGTCACTGATCAATTAGGGAACATGCTCATTTAAAGTTGTGCAATGCTCCCTTATAACATCATTTGGCTGCCTGCTTTGCCCACCTCTTGCAAGATTCTGTGGAAGAGCAGCGACTTTACAAGGGAGCATTGCACAAATTCCTCTTCTCCATCTCTCCCGGCACCTCCCAAACAGCTGTTTGGCGGCAGGGAAACGCTGGGAGGGAGGGGGATGAGAGGGGAAGCGCCACGTCTCCGCTCCTCCCCCTCCCTCCCAGAAAGTTCTAAGTGCTGCCAAACAGCTGTTTGGTGTGCTTAGGACTTTGAGGGTGAGGGGGAAGGAGCGGGGATGCGGCGTGCTCCGGAGAGGAGGTGGAGTGGGGGTAGCAAGAGGTGGGCCTGGAGTGGAGCGGGGACAGGAAGAGGCTGACCTGGAGCATTCCCAGCAAAGTCGGCGCCTGTTCTTCTCGGCGAAGCTGCCGCTGCTGCTGCGAAAGTGCTTCCTAGCACCCTTGCCTGCAGCGGGCTGTGCCGGGGGGGGGGGTAATCCAGGGGCACGTCCCAACCACAGTACTGTACAGTATATAATGCCTTTTGTCTGCCCAAAATTTTTTTCCTTGGAACCTAACCCCCCGCATTTACATTAAATCTTATGGGAAAATTGGATTTGTTCAACATTGTTTCACTTAAAGTTTCATTTTTCAGGAACATAACTACAACGTTAAGTGAGGAGTTACTGTGCTGTCTCTTGCAGCCCCCACCATCACTGTGAGCCCACCCTACCTCTCTCCATAGTTCACACCACATAGTGCCACCCTTTGCCTGCCCTCACAACACCACCTCTCCCCACTGCCCCCAATCCTCTAGCGTGACCTCTTCCCAGCATGCCCCCTCCCTCTCACATTCCCCCAGCGTGACCCCCGCACTGCTCCCTCCCTCTCACATTGCCCCAGCGTGACCCCCCACTGCCTCCTCCCACAATCCCCCAGCGTGCTCTCTCCCTCTCATAATTCCCTATTGTGACCTCTCCTGCTCCTTCCCTTGCAGCCTCGCCACCATGACTTCCTCCCAGTCTCCATCCGAGCCCCCCTCCCTGCAGTCCACGCCTTCACCCCCCAAAATTACCCCCTCCGCCCCCCACTGCAGGGAGTGACCCTCTCCTACCCCAGTCAAACAGACAGCGGGCCGGACCCTCGTGACATTCAAGCCACTTCCGGGTGTTGCTGGCGAGTTGCTAGGAGACGCGGTCTGCCGCTCGGAGAACTCCGTGCCTTCCGTTCCCCAATGCGTCCCGGGCAGGCACTGGAAGCCGTGGCTCTAAGATTCCGCAGCCTGCAGCGCTCCACCCCTCTCACAGTGGGGCGGGTGGGGAGCTATCCAGCTCCCCAGGCATACGGTGCCCGACCCCAGCAACTCTGAATAGAAGGAGGGGCCTGAGCTGTGAGTGGGGTGGGAGTGTGGGGTTAATATAGGGCCAGCAGCTTCCACTCGCTCCCACTCATGATGCCTTGGCAAGGGGAACAGGCACCCTGCAGCACTTCACTTCTGCCCCCAGGGCCATCTTTCACCCCCAAAGCCCCTCTACAGGCAACAGATACATTGTCCCTGGCCGGGGTGCCTGTGGGCACCCAGCCAAAGAGAAGGTGCCAGAGGCCTGATGACACCAGCATCACTCACCCCCAATGACCATAAACTGTGAGTCAGGCCACAAAAGTCAAGAGCTTGGCTTTAAAATAATAAGTTGGGGTCCTTGATCATAGACTCATGGAGCTCAACACAGAGAAGGTTAAGAGGTGACTTGATCACAGCTTAATTACCTTCTTGGAGAACAAATTTCTGACACTCTAGTCTTGTAGACAAAGGTATAACAAGGTCCAATGATTGGACACTGAGGCTAGACAAATTCAGACTAGAAAGAAAGTGCAAATTTTTAGGTAAGGGTAATTAACCACCAAAGGTCACAGTGGATTCTCCATCACTGGCAATTTTTAAATCAAGACTGGATGTTTTTTAAAAAGATCTGCCTTAGCTCAAACAGGAATTAATTCAAGGAAGTCCTCTGGCCTGTTTTATGAGGTCAAACTATAAGGCCAGAAGGGACAACTGTGATTTCCTAGTCTATAAAACTGTACAAATCTCACCTTTTATTTAAAAAAAAAAAGTTTCTAGCCATGATGCTTACAGAGAAAAGCCTGAAAAGGTGACTCAGTTTCACCCTGAAGTCCCAAAAACCAGAAGGCAAATAAAAAAAACCCTCAAGAGGTATTTTTGTATTTAAAAACTCACGATTTTAGAGCAAGTCTTATGTTTTTTTGGGGGGTGGAGGGGCTAACATTACTTTTGAGTGCTAGGATCTGGCAAAACTGTGTCATGCCAGCTTCACATTAAAATGTGATTTGCTGACACAGCATGATGTTAAATGTTCCAATGTGAACATCATGTTTTCCCAGTGCCCAAATCTGTACAGTCTCAAACTCTCCAAAGTAGCAGCTCCCTGGATACAGGCTTGTAGGCTGCTGGCCTATCTCCCCAGCCCAGGACATGCTCTCACTGCCACACCGAAGTCTCTTTCGGGCCCTTCCTGCAGGGCTCAGTTTATTAACTCAAACACAAAATAGGCAAAACAGAGCAGTTCCTTTGCCAACCCTAGCATAAAGCTCCCAGAGTTTTCCCCCGGCCTCTCCCAAGGCTGAAAGAACAATACATCCTTCCCTTCAACGCCCCCCCCCGGGTGACCAAATGTCCTGATTTTGGGGTCTTTTTCTTATATAGGTTCCTATTACCCCCTGTCCTGATTTTTCACACTTGCTATCTGGTCACCCTACCCCCACCCCCATGCTCCAGAACCTACTGCAGGAGCACATCTCCCTCCAGCAGCTCCTGCTAGTTGAGCACGCTAAGCCTTTACAACAGTTGGATCTGATAATTGAATAGGGCTGGCTAGCCACAGGCTCCATGGCTCTTAAAGGGGCAGGCTACCCTGTTACACTAATAAGGCTGATTGTGGTTCTGGAGGCAAGCACATAGGGAGATCTGTCTTAGGGAGCAGGTATCCCACAGTTACAGCTGTCAGCATTTTTTGTGCATAAAGTTTTCCTGACCCAAAATATGGTTTTATAAACGCGGAATTTTTTCACGGGAAAGTGTTGATTCAAACCGAAAACAATCAACCAAAACATTTAGAATGAAGATTGGTCATTAAAAATTTCTTGCAGGGAAATGCAGGATTGTTGTAGCTGTGTTGGTCCCAGGATATTAGAGAGACAAGGTGGGAGAGGCACTCTCTCTGTGTAAGCTCAAAAGTTTGTCTCTCTCACCAACAGAAGTTGGTCCAATAAAAACCTCACCTATCTTATCTCTCTTGCAGGGAAAATGTCAGTTTTCTAACCAGCTCTGCTTGCTGTGTCCAATGCTGTTAGCACAGCCCACTGTCCTGTGACCCAGCCCGTCTACCTCTGTGCATTCCTCTCAGCTTGTCATGCATGTTGCCACGACAGCACTTCCCACCCCAGTCATGTTAGCAGGAGTCCCAGTGCCAAACCTAGGTCTCTCCCGCATAGTAAGGTGGAATCCCGCCCCAAGACACTGGACCAGTCTTGTTCTTTCCTTTTCTATCAGCATCTCTCGATTCCTTCTTCCCCCATATTTTAGCAACTAAGAGGAGCAGCAAACTGAGAGGGATGCCCTAGCAGCCACATCCACCTGAGCAGCTGGGTGGAGATCCTCAAAGGTATTAGGCTTCTAACTTCCACTGAAACGAGTGTATCAAGCCCTGCAAAGAGGAAATTCAGGCAGGGACAGCTGTGAGAGAACTTACCCCCTTGCCTGCTTCTTTCCTAGGCCTCGGGATACCTGAGAGCAGTGAGTGCACTACATCATACATTCAAAATGTAACTGCTCTGCTACAGCAGGCTGAACCTACTGATAAGGACAAGCTGCCTGGCTTAACTCTTCAAATGCTGGACCCAATTGGTGTAACAATGTCTGAATCCCTTAAAAAGCTAGTGGGCCAACTTCAGCCCTAAGGCCCCGTTCTTCCCCTCCCCCAAAAAGGTCTGAGTAACTCCCATTGACCTCAAGGGAGCTGCTCTCACCTTGTGGTGGGTGAATAGGGCCACTGGTGTAAGTCTATTAATGATAATGGAGTCATCTCAGGGGCAAATTTGGCCAACTAGCTTTTTCCATGTACTCACACCCCTTCTGTCTCATATACACATAGTCCACCCCCATCGCCACTTCCTCAGACTGATTTGGACTGGTACACACATTCAAAAAGTGATCATGTCTTTGGAACCCCAGACCAGGACTCTTTTCTGAAGGCTGGCCTGGCTTAGGGACTGTGGAGAATACCCAGGGCTTTTGGATAACTGGGGAGTAAAGGGAAAAATAGCTAGGTGTTTGGGAACAGGGAAGATCTTATGCTGGGGTTCAGATCTCTGGGGAATGGAAGGATATGGTGCGGGGAACATGTAACTGGGGAGTGGATGGGAGAACATGTTTTTAGGGAGAACGTGTGCTGCATTGTGGGGGAGAGGGTAAAATGGGCTCAGTCAGGGCCACCAGTGCTTAATTTCTGCCAGGGCTTGCCAGAGCTGAGCCCTGGCACTTCTAGGCTTGGCAGTTCAGAGCCCCGGCACCTCTGGCCTTGGTAGTTCAGAGCCCCAGCACTGCTGCGCTTGGCAGTTCAGAGCCCCGGCACCTCTGGCTTGCTGCGTCAGTTATGAAAGTAAAAAAAAATTGCTTGATCCCTGGCACCTCTTTCATTACAAATTAAGCACTGAGGACCTCCTCCCCTCAGGTCTCCCCTAGATCCAGAACTGTGCAAGGGAGACTCTCCAACACACTCTGGGGGAAACGAGGACCCAGGTGTTGCCTCCCCTCTTGCCCCACCTCTCAAGTGGCTTTGGGGAAAAGCTTGCAGAGAGGAGCCAGCCAGATATTCCAGCTGGTAGGAGCAGAAGCAGCCCAAAGCAGGGATCTCAGAGAACTCGCTACAGTTCTGAGTGGACTTTCTCTGCCCTGCATGAATGG